CAGAGGAAGCTACACAACTGTTACTCAGAAGCAGAGGGCCTAGGTCGGTCCTATGTAGGCTCCCTAGCTGTCAGTCCAGAGTCCATGAGCTCCCATTAGCTCAGGTCAGCTGTCTCTGCATTCCTCATCATGGTCTTAACCCCCTGGCTCATACAATCCCTCCTCCCTCTTGTCAGCTGGACTCTCAGAGCTTGGCCCAGTGCTTGGCTGTGGATCTCTGCATCTGCTTCCATCAGTTACCAGATGAAGGCTTTCTGTTGACAATTAGGGTAGTTACAAATCTGCTGTCAGGGGAAAGCCAGTTCAGGTACCTTCTCCATTATTCCTAGGAGTCATAGCTGGAGTCATCCTTGTGGATTCCTGGGAGATTCCCTGGCACCAAGATTTTTCCCTAACCCCATAATGGACCCCTCTATCAAGATAGCTCTTTTATTACTCATCCCCTCTGTCCTGCCCCCAACTCCACCAACCCATTCCCCTCTACTCAGCCCCAATCCCAGTTTACCCAGATCTCGTCTATTTCCCCATCCCAGGGGAATCCATGAGTCCCTCTTAGGGTCCTCCTTGTTACCTAACTTCTCTGGGGCTGTGGATTTTAACCTGATTATCCTTTGCTTTACATCTAATATCCACTTCTGAGTGAGTACATACTGTGTTTGTCTTTCTGTGTCTGGGTTACCTCACTGAGGATGATTTTTTTTTCTAGTTCCATCCATTTGCCTGCAAATTTCACGGTGTCATTGTTTTTTCTACCACTGAGTAATACTCCATTGTGTAAAAGTAGCACACTTTCTTTTTTTATTGATTTTTATTGAGCTCTACATTTTTCTCTTCTCCCCTCCCGGCCTCTCCCCTCCCCTTTAACCCCTCCCAAGGTGCCCATGTTCCGAATTTACGGAGGAGATCTTGTCTTTTTCTACTTCCCATGTAGATTAGATGTATGTCCCTCTTAGGGTCCTCATTGTTGGCTAGGTTCTCTGGGATTGTGATTTGTGATCTGGTTTTCTTTGCTTTATGTTTACAAACCACTTATGAGTGAGTACATATGATAATTGTCTTTCTGTGTCTGGGTTACCTCACTCAAAATCATGTTTTCTAGCTCCATCCATTTGCCTGCAAAATTCAAGCTGTCATTTTTTTCTGCTGTGTAGTACTCCATTGAGTAAATGAACCAGATTTTCCTTATCCATTCTTCAGTCGCAGGGCATTTAGGTTGCTTCCAGGTTCTAGCTATGACAAACAAAGCTGTTATAAACATATCTGAGCACATGTCCTTGTGGCACGATTAAGCATCCTTTGGTTGTATACCCAAAAGTGATATTACTGGGTCTTGAGGAAGGTTGTTTCCTAATAGTTTGAGAAATCACCATACTGACATCCAAAGGGGCTGTACCAGCTGGCATTCCCACCAGCAATGCAGGAGTATTCTCTTTCCCCCACAACCTCTCCAGCATAAGTTGTCATCAGTGCTTTTGACCTTGGTCATTCTTACAGGTGTAAGATGGAATCTCAGAGTTGTTTTGATTTGCATTTCTCTGATGACTAAGGATGTTGAACATTTCCTTAAGTGTCTTTCAGCCATTTTAGATTCCTCTGTTGAGAGTTCTCTGTTTGGGTCTGTACTCCATTTTTTATTAGATTATGTGTTCTTTTATGACCAATTTCTTGAGTTCTTTGTAAATTTTGGAGATCAGACCTCTGTATGATGTGGGGTTAGTGAAAATCTTTTCCCATTCTGTATGCTGTCGTTTTGTCTTGTTGACCATGTCCTTTGCTTTACAGAAGCTTTTCAGTTTCAGGAGGTCCCATTTATTAATTGTTTCTCTCAGTGTCTGTGCTGCTGGGGTTATATTAAGGAAGTGGTCTCCTGTGCCAATGCATTCAAGTGTACTTCCCACTTTCTCTTCTATAATGTTCAGTGTGGCTGCCTTTATGTTAAAGTCTTTGATCCATTTGGACCTGAGTTTTGTGCATGGTAATAGATATGGGTCTATTTTCATTTGTCTACATGTTGAAGTCTAGAAGATATGTAACTTCTGTCCTTCCTCCTTCAGGTGTGCTTTAATGGATTTCAGAATGCTTTTCTAAATCTACAAAACTCTCCGTGGTTAGCATTATAGCGTCTACAACGCAGAATTGTCTTGCAAAGTGTGAGCAAGATCATTGAAGGCCCACCACCTACCATTCCGAACAAAGGCCTGTTTATCTCAGAAGCGAGAAGTTAAGGCAAAAGTGAAGAAAGTAGATATAGCAAGAAAGGATTCCATCACATCTGAAACAATTGCGATTCTGTGGCACAGATGGGAGACACTGCTTTCACCAGCCCTCTGTAATCCACAGTCATTCTCAATGAGCCATCCCACTACCTCATCTTGGGGTGCTGCCACAGGGATGCTTCGCATATCCCTAGCTCCAGCCATAGGGCAGAGCTGGCTTTCTTTGCTCTGACTCACCCAGGGTCAAGACTGCCTACTGTTCCCTCACATACCCCTTGCATCTGGCCAACTTTCAGTTGGTTGATGGCTTTTCTGTTGACCACACCTGAGAGGGCCTTGAGCTGGACAAACAGTTTTCACTCCTGGCATCCTTTCTTACAGAAGACAAGTGTGCTGTTCTGGAGGCTAACTGCACTCCTGAGACAAGCGCGGTCTTGCTCGCCTGCATTGCTCTATCACTATGCCTTCATTATCTTTTATTCAGGCATTAAAACACTCTCAGGGCTCACAATAATTGAATTTGGCTTCCTGTCACGCTTTTTCTTCGAAACACTGGTTTAACCCACATCTTACCACATTCACTTTTGAGTGACCTGGAAAAGTACTTTAGTCTGCTTTTGCCTTTCTTAAGTCCTCTTCGGTGCTTTAGCACCTTAGAAACCTGATGTAGATACCAAGCTAAGTCATTCAGTCTCTCTGCTCTCAAAAATTGTGTGCCACCATGGGGTTCAGCAAAGCCACCATTCTAGTCCCTAGGTCCCTGTTGAATCAACCCCTTCCTTGGCTGTTCTGTGAATGCAATCCTATCTGGCCCAGTGAACTTCACACGAATGACTGCTTGTGTCTCCTCATTTTTGTCATTAGTGCTGGTCCTTCTATTGTCTTCTGGTCCTTGATGTTCATGGGGACATCAACTAGTGATAATCAAGTGTCTCTAAGGGTTCTTATAAGTCAGTTGATCAGAGAATTATTTCCCTCATTATGTAGCCTTTGACCTGTAGAAAGATGTATAGTTCATAGTGAGGCTGTTCCCTGATTATAGTAGTTCACTTTACTGGATCATTATTAAGCTCCCTCTGTAATCTTCATGTTTTCCCTTTCTCTGTACTAAAGGTCAGATCTGAGAGGTATCTTGCATCATGTCTGTCTCATTTTGACCCTCCTCATTGTCCAATTCTTCCCATGGAATCCAAGTTTAGGTGTCCCAAGAGAGGCTATTTGCACATATATAATTGGTACTCTTTTCTTCATGTCCCAGTAAGAAATGGCAAGCCAATTCCTCTATCCTATTTAGCTCTCCCCTTTCTCCCTCTATCTTTTATTTTTCCTGCTAATTCAGTGGCTAGTGCAGGGGATTGCATCCACATGGTTTTCTTACATTTCCTTCATTTCATATGCAGTCATTCTAGTTTTGAACTCAATTACTTGCCTTATTGTCCGGAGCAAAGGGCACATGACTGACACCCCAGCTTACATAAGACCCTGTCCCATATATGTTATTTTTGTGGATTGTAATATATCCTTCATCAGCCATTTAAGGGACATCTCACATGATAGATGCCATCCATCAAGGAGTTTTGCATTCCATACCACATAAGAAAAGCAGTCACTCTGGAATTCTCCAGGGGAACCCCACCTTCCAATACATGGGTGAAGTGGCATGCCATTTCACCCATAGCAGGGACAGTGCCAGGGCTACTAAAACAGGAAGGCACACCATTCCATACCCCACCAGGAAGGACAACCATGCCAGGGTTCTCCACACAGACACTCCACCCTCAGATGGCTTAGCTTCATTGTGTATGTCTCCTAGCCCACAACAGAAGCAATGGTGTTTCTCCTTATGTTTATCTCTGTTGTATCTTGGATTAAGTTGCCAAGTGTTGGGTAAACATTTTCTGGGTAGATAAACAAACATCTGTCCCAAAGTAATGATTCTTCCCAGGCCCAGCTTGTTGCATCAATGGGTTTGATTAGGATTGTTTACAAGAGCATGGGTAAGGGGTCATTTACTGGGATATGGGGAACTTATAAGCAGCTACACCACTGAAGAACCGCCCCACTTCCTAGCAACTGTTAACTGCTTACAGAATTTTGGGAAGGGCTAGGATCTCTTCAGCCTCCTCCCTCTATGAAGGAACATCAGTGAGCCCAGTCTTGTGCTATCTTTAGTAATACCAGCTGCTGATCGTTCAGGAGGGCAATGACCATGTCATGCCCAGAGGACAGCATCCAACAACACTGTTTTTTTCTGTCTATTCTGGTACTGTCTCAACATACAAAAGGATCTGTTATCCCTGACTAAAAATGAGGGGAGGATTCTATAGAAAATAATAACTGGGTTAAAGTTTAAAAGACAAACAAGAGCTAATAGAGCAGAAGATGCAGAGAGCAGTTCCTTGCTGAAGGAAATCAACATGGATCTGCAGTAGTAGGAAACGAACAGACTATAGTATGAAGGAGGAGAGTAAGAAAGGTTGTTTTATAAAACTGCTGAAAACATGAGAACTCATTTTGAAGTTTCCCATAAGAGAATAAAAGTGCTTCCATCTTTAGCTGATATATAATGAAGTTAAATGTTTTCGTTTATAATAAAATTTAGCTCCATTGCAGTGTTTTGAACTATATCATATATGGATTTTGGTAATTATATGTATATTTAATGTATTACTTTAAGAAATGTATTGAATTAAAATAAATTTTGAATAGACTCAAATGGAATTTTTTCCATCTAAGTCTCTTTTTTATAATTTGTGGTTATCTTTATTTTTGTATCCTTTGCAGGGTTCCTGTACCACAGCCACATTCTTCTGCACAAGCTAAGAGAAGCAGACACTACGTACCCTTACACCGTATGTTGCTGTTTTTGTTATTATTCCTTTTAAAAGTTATGGAACTCAGTTGCATACTCTTTAGTATTTGATTTTACTAGCAAAAGATGAAGTGTTTCATATTAGTTTAAGCCATCTTGTAAAGTACTGTTTGGTACTGCCATCATGTCTGCCAGACTCTGGGAACAAGAATCCAAGCATGGAGATAAAATGCTTATAAGCTATCAGTAGATAATTAACAGAAATTACTTGTAGTATTCTATAGCACATTAAGGTAATGATAGTTGACATTTAATTGTGTATTTTATAATACCTAGACAAGATTACAAATGGCTACAAATACAAATGCTAAGTTTATGAGGTGATAGATCTTCCAGTTACCCTGGTCTCATAATTACATATTGTATACATATATTTAAGCATTTCATTGGAACCCCATAAATGTGTATGATTGTATGTTAATCCATTTTTCTTAAATTTATCTTATCTGAACAGCTACCATGTATTAAAATGATAAGATATGCTTTAAGGGAGGTCCACCATCAACATAGAGATGCTATTGGCTAGGAGGAATAGGTTAACCCCAGACACAATGCAGATAACACTGACAAGCAGAAAGGAAGGTTAAGGTCGATACCTTCAGGAAGGAGGACAAGTATGTGTGCAAGGGAAGTGGTCACAATCTCATCAGAGAGTCTTATGACCATGGCCATGTGATAAGTTTGTGCTTGTGATCCTATCTGCTGCTAACAGTGAAGCGATTGTTCAACTAAAAGAAATATGTATACATCTATATACCTAGCATGTTTTAAACTCATCTTACAAGTGATGTTCCAAGAATCAACAACACTTGAAAGAAAAAAAAATGTGTTCAAAAAGGCAGTTGAGCAATGAGTATATATAGTATTATTCATCTTGCTAGAAAAATTCAGATGTCACGTTATTTGATTACTAGCCAACAATATTTTCTAAATATCTGTTATAAACTACAGTTCTAGAAAAGCTCACAAAATATGTTCCTTGTTAACAAAAGAAACTGTCTCCCATTTAGCACATATAGGAGCATGCACCCTTCTGTCCATTTGGAGGTGCTCTTGTACACACACTGAAAAGGTAACCGGTGTCACTTCAAAACAAAAGCAGTTTTTCTCTACCTTAAGAGTGACTTTCATCGGCATTTTTGTCTTGATGTTCCCTTTTAATTCTGTCCTGCTATCCAATAGCACTACTAGGGAAAAATCGTTTGTATCAATAAATGGGCTAATGATTATCTGAGTAAAAGTAACCAGAAGAAAATAGTTATAAGTTGTTCCTTTAGTAACAGCAAACAAGGTTTTTTTTTTGGTTTTTTTTTTTTTTGGTTTTTTTTTTAGTTAACGTGGGAGTTTAGGTTAAGTAGGCTTGATTTAAATTGACAGTCAGAATAGGTAAATTTAAGTAAGTCTTTGTTTTGTTTGTTTTCTTGTTTGCTTTGGTTTTATTTTACCATGTAGGGTACTTTCAAGGGAGGAGAGGTCAAATGCAGTGTTCTAAGCAAGTCCTCTTTCTTTTCTTTGCTATTGGGTCAACTAGTTTGAGCTTAGGGTTGGTTTCTGAAGTGATTTCATAATATAATTTCATACTGGTAGAATACCATTAGAATTATTTGCTTTCAGTGGAATCCTAAACCAAGGGATCGTCTCTCTGGATTTAACATTTTAGCCTTTTAACTCCATCTTGCCTTTTGGTGTGAATTTTATTTCAGTTCTTCACCCAGACAAAGGTGAGACTGTCATTTTGTGGACATTTCCTTTCTTAACTATGATGTGTCAGTAAGCTTGTCCATAGGGTTTTTTTTTTTTGGTATGGTTTTTATTGATTGTTACATGATACGAAATGTTGATATTTGTGTGTGTGTGTGTATGAGATCTGTGAGTATGTGTGTGTCCTCATGAGTGTGTATACAGATCCTTTTGTGCTATAGTATGTGGAACTCAGAGTAGAACTTTGAGTGTAAGTCCTCACCATCCACCTTGAGGCAGGATCTCTTCATTGTTTGTCACTATGGACACCAGGCTATCTGGGTTCTGAACATCCCAGGCATCTCGTCTTTCTCCTTCCATAGCACTGGGATCACAGACACGTGCTTTACTTGGTTCATGGGAATTTTATCTTCACGTCTGTATGGGTAATGCTTGCCTCACTGTGTTAGTTAGGGCTTCGACTGCTGTGATAAAACACCATAACCGAAAGTTGGGTAGGAAAGGATTATTTCATCTTAAAATTTGTAGTCTTGCATCTGGAGTAGTTGGGGCAAGAGCTGGTGCAGGAGCCGTAGAGAAATTCTGCTTACTGACTTGGACAGCCTGACTTCTGAAATCACCCAGGACCACCATCTCGGGGGTGGCACCGCCTAATGTGATCAAGGTCCTGCCACATGATCATCAACCAAGAAGATGATCCACAGACTTTCCTACAGGCCAATCCTATAGAAGCATATTCTCAAGTAAGATACCTTCTTCCAAGACGACCCTAGGTTCTGTCAAGTTGACCAAAAGAAAACAACAATCTAGCCAGCACACACACTGAAGCGTCTCTCTAGCTGAATTTGGGGGGTATTTGTGCCTCTCTATACTTAAAATAATCAATCTTTTTTAAAAATGCTTATTTCCGGAGGCTGTGAGCATAGCTCAGTAATTGTTCTAGTTTGTTGTCTGTTGCTCTGATAAACACCATAAACAAAAGAGACTTGGGGTTTCAGCTTAAAGGTTATAATCCATCATGGAAGTAAGCCAGGGAAGTAGCTCAGGATAGGTACCTGGAGGCAGGGATTGAAGCAAAGACGAGAAAGAAGCGCTGCTCACTGGCACACTTCCTTGCTGGCATTCAAGACCTTTCCTATCCTAAATCAACTAGTGATTGAGATGTCCCACTGATAGGCCTGCAGGCCAGCTTTAGTACATTTGAAAATTTTCCACAGCAAAAATAAATTTAAACCATTAAAATATGTGGGGCGATGGTGGAGCATGCCCTCGGGAGGCAAAGGCAAGCAGTTCTCTGTGAGTTCTAGGCCAGCCTGATCTACAGAATGAGTGCCAGGACAGAGAAACCTTGTCTCAAAACAAACAAACAAAAAACAAACAAAAGAAAAAAAACTCAAAAAAAGGAAAACATTAAAATACTTTTGCAGCTATAACAAACATAAGTTTAAAACTACATAATTCTGGTTAGTAAGTATATTGATGCTGCATTAGTTTCTGTTTTCTTTAGGAAAAGTAAAAATAGGCCTGAGAAACTTGTGTCCATGTAATACATATTTAATTCATAAAAGATCAGTGGAGTTTTGACAGATTACCAGATATATAGGCAAAGATCAATTTTAGCAGAAGTTCAAAACTAAGAAATTTCATGTAATATTCAAAATACAACAGTGTTTTTGTTGTGGGGTAGCCACCAAAAAGATTACTTGGACACAGGGTTAAGCTAATAGAATTTTTTTATTGGCCAGCCAGCAACTACACTGGGCGTTTAGGATCCCACTGTTATACCAAGCCTTTCTCAGGCTGAGCCTTTAGGCAGACAAGGCATTACCTGGGATAATATATTCCAATTAACAAGAACAGTTATCCAGAAGCAAGACAACAGAAGCCAAAAAGCAAGGTTAGTGCATTTAGAGACTTTCCCAGAACTATGGACTTTGATGGAGTAGGTCTTTGTTTTCAATTTGGCAGGAGGTACTATCTATGTGCTGAGTTTTATGGCCTGAGTGTTACTTCCATCATGGAGTCAGTTGTGCTAACTAAGGTCTGGGAGCCTACTAAGGTCTGGGGCACTGTTAAAGTTTTTTTTTTCATTTTTGGTTTATGGTGATAGGGTTTCTCTGTGTATCATTGGAGCCTGTCCTGGAACTTGCTCTGTAGACCAGACCTCTTGAACTCACAGAGATCCACCTGCCTCTGCCTCCCAAGTGCTGGGATTAAAGGCAACACCACCACTTCCTGGCTCTGTTAAAGTTTTGGTGTGTTGCAGCATGAAACAAACGGCAGAAAGTAGTCTAATAACTAAAGAAATGTCAAAAAATTAACTCAATGAAGGACATGTGATATTATATGAAGAATCTTGGACTTTAGAGGCATTAAGACAAAGAATTTGAAGATAGTAAACAGAAAGAGTGGCCTGGTTTTGTTTTCATTTAAGACTCGACTGTGGTGTCTATAGGGAGAGCAAGTGTAAAGAAAACCACTCTAGAGGCAAAGAAGCCGGGAAGTAATAATGAAGGCCAGGAACATATAGTAGTAGTTTTAAAAAATGAAGAACAAGAAATGAAATGAGACATGCATTTGAAAATATAATTGATTCAATGTAGATGGTGATGTAAATTGAAAGTAGAAAATTGATGAGTGACCGTTAAGCCTCAGGTACCCACATTTTGTCTCAACTGAAGAGGCTGAAAACTCCCATCAGAAGCAACTGTTCATTTGCAAGGTTGAAATAATGACATACCATACACTCCATGATTAGAACTGCCAACATCTGTTTACACACAGTCTGGAGACAAAGCTTTGGCGTAGATTAGGTTTCTTCTGAGGCCCCTCTCCTTGGCTTGTGCATGGCCATCTTGCTGTCTTTATACTGTTTCCACCGTGTGTATACATCCATACCTGTGTTTAAGATTTCACTTCATGTAAGGACACCAATCTGAATTAAGACCTAAACTGATAGTTTCATAGTCAGTCACCTCTTTAAAGACCTCATCTCTTATGTATGATCACCATGTGATGTACTGACAAAATTTAAATATATGAATTTGGATGTGATACAGGTCTGTACATAAGCATGTTTGTACAGGTATCTCTTGTATACTGAGTTTGATTCCTTCACATATATGCCTAGAATTGTGATACCTGGTTTGTAAAATAGTTTTTTCTTTTATGAACATCCTGTTAGTTCCACACTGACTGTGTTATAGTCCTACCAAAGAAGAGTTCCTGCCTCCCATTTTCATAAACACTTCTTGTTTATTTTCTTAATGATTGCTATTT